TATCTATCTATCTATCTATCTATCTATCTATCTATCATCTATCTATCTATCTATCTATCTATCTATCTATCTATCTATCATCTATCTATCATCTAGTAAGTTTACAACCCTGCCAAACCCTTTTAATTGCGCTGTAGGATGGAGTATAAAAGCTAGCTCCATTTGCATTCCAAGCATCCATTGTTATTAACTTCAAGCTAATCTCTTAAAGCTGGAGACCTTTCTCTGCCTTCCTTTCTGCCTCTGAAAGCATCTTGAGTTGCATAATTTGTTTAATTCCCATGCTAAGGCAGAGTATAAAAGCTGTCTCTATTTGGCTTAAACATTTGGCTGAATACTGAGTAAAGGACAAATTTAGAGATGCATCTTTAAATGAACAACAATGACTGATTTGAACATTTAAAATGAAGTATTAATAGTTTCATCACTTAAATGACATCAAAGAGTTGGCACTGAACTGCTCCAAGTTGTATCATACCCACCCGTAATAAAAATGGGGACTCACTATATTCAGATTTATTCCACCTAAGGGTCTATATGTATTATTTATGAATTTAATTCCTCTCTCTGCTGAAGTATAAAGACTAGATATAGAGAGGAATGTAAAAAAAAAAAAGAGCTGATTTTCATCTGCAGCAACAGAAAAACCTAGTGGCCAAAAAACACCATTTCATAAATTAAAGTGGAAATTTGTGATGGACTGATCAATCTACTCTGTTTTTCCAGCTTTGAAGCTTGAGAGTTAGTTTTCTTAGGCTTCTGAAATATGAGAGAAAGATGAAGATATTTTCAGGGAAAACATAACAGGCCAAACACTGGAGCTACAACATCAGTAACTCTGCTCTGCTAAGGGAAAGACTTCATAAAAGGTACTCAAGGATGCGACAGAGAATATGGTAGGGGGTCATGACAGGTTTGGACATGAAGTATAGAAACATAAGGTCTCATTGTCTTTATATACTCACACAGTAATAGAAAGAGTTTCTAGAAAGTGTCTATTGACTGCATTCACACAAAAGCCCATTGGTATACCCAGTGTATGTCACAACACACATTTATTCTGTCTTTTGACAGCCAGATTTTTAACCCAGTGAGATAGCACTTGTCTCTACATACTTACAACATAGATTCTTCAGCCTCTACTGTAGCTATAGTTTTCCTGCCTTGCTCACAGTCAGGACAAATCTCTCTCACCCGCCAGTCCCACAGCCGCTCAGACCCAACCAAGTAAACACAGAGACTTATATTGCTTACAAACTGTATGGCTGTGGCAGGCTTCTTGCTAACTGTTCTTATAGCTTAAATTAATCCACTTCTTTAAATCTATACCTTGCCACGTGGCTCGTGGCTTACTGGCATCTTCACATGCTGTTTGTCATGGAGGTGGCTGGCAGTGTCTCCCTCAGCCTTCCTGTTCTCTCAGTTCTCCTCTCTGTTAGTCCCGCCTATACTTCCTCCTGCCTGGCCACTGGCCAATCAGTGTTTTATTTATTGACCAATCAGAGCATTTGACATACAGACCATCCTACAGCACTCTACTAGGAAGGTAAGAATTGAGTGAACAATGAGAGGAGGAGCCACATTCAAACTCTTTCTTCATTCAACACTGAATGGATGAAGATGGGGGTAGTGTGGGAAGGGCCTCCCTTGACGGCAGCAGGACCTAGTTAGATGTAGACGGTTTGGAGAATACTGGACTGGACCTCTCCTTCACAGACAGAACCTGCTAAAAGGACTTTTAATTACTGGTCAGAAAAATGGAAACTTGTCCACTTCTCTGGCTCTGGAAGGAGATGTGTCATCCAGGGTTGTCTGGAAGAATACTGATAGATAACTTTCTAAACCTTCCTCCAGGAATTTTGAATCTCCTTAGAGTGCAGCAGAGGCTTTCTGGTAAAGAGCAAGGTCATGCCAAGCTCAGAGATACCACTGAGCTTGCTCATGGTAACAGTCAGTCTGAGCAGGCCTTTTGGCTGCCTATATGGGACAAGTGGCTTCTAAGCCATTTAGACAGCAGTACAATGTTTGCCTAGGATGTAGGTCTGAGCATAGGTTATTTTGGGTTTTATCTAGTAGAATTCCTAGTCACTCCCCCAGCTACATGACCACTTGTGAGCTGTCCAGTAGCAGGCAAGATGCTTAGTCATCCTAGGGCCTTACATCCTACATAGTCCCTGTGCTGTGTATGTGATCACATAATCTGCATGCAGCATGATCATGTAATCTATGCACATACCTGGCGTAGCTACATAAACTCATATGCACATATGCGGGAGGAACCTATAAACGTGGTTCTACCTATTCCCCCTCCTCCCTTCCTGCATGATCATTCCATAGGCCTATGCACACCCCTTCTCTTCCCTTCCCTTAATAAACTCTTATAGTGGGTTTTGTTGTGCCTCATGACATCTCTTGTACAGTAAAGAGTGATGCTTAATAAATAACATGGTGCTGCTTAATAATAAATAACATTATCCACTTCCATCCTTAAGATAGTGCTGTTTTGCTTCATAATAAACTCAGCCTGTTTTCCACACTACTGTTTCCTCAACTTCTCTGAATTCTTTCAAAGGAGATCTAAAACCAGGAGGGTCCAGACTGCATATTTCAGTGACAGACTAAATATATGTGTGTGTGTGTGTGTGTGTGTGTGTGTGTGTGTGTGTGTGTGTGTGTATATATATATATTAAGGTCTTTTTAGACAATAAAGCATAGGATGAGTGGATATAGATGTTTCACTTTAAAATATTATGTTGCCGGGCCGTGGTGGTGCATGCCTTTAATCCCAGCACTCGGGAGGCAGAGGCAGGCCGATCTCTGTGAGTTCAAGGCCAGCCTGGGCTACCAAGTGAGTTCCAGGAAAGGCACAAAGCTACACAGAGAAACCCTGTCTCGAAAAAAACAAAAATAAATAAATAAATAAATAGATAGATAGATAGATAAAATAAAATATTATGTAAAAATGTATGAGAGTAAAAGATGAATGCAGAAATATACTTCTGGTAAGCTCTGTATCTGTTGTGTTTGGTCCTGAAACTGTTCTCTTTGGAACAAGTTTATACTTTATATAGTTCACTTCCTTTCTCCCCTACTAGTGAATCAGCCCACACTCTCTTCAATACATGTGCAATCTTCCCCCTCAGATATTGAAAATCCTCTGATGTAGCGTATTGGAATATAAACCTTACCTGTACATTGTTTCAAGTATTCTTAAATTTTTATTGCCGCTTTTCCAAAAATTTGGCATATAATCTGGCATAGAAAAGCTAGATTGAGCTTTGGATCAAATGAGCTAGGATTATTCCATGCAGTAATTAATCTTTTTTATCCTCATTTTCTGAGGCACACTGATCCAGCTCCATCTTCTCTAGATTGATGAAAATTCTGTGAACCATGGAATTGAGGAAGAAAAAGAGTCACTCTGTAAGGAGACTATCGACACTTTGATCAGCTCAAGTGGAATCAAATGAAACAACAGACATTCTCTTACACTTCTAATGATGATGAAAATTGGGCACTCCCTTACTGGTAATTTCTCAGTATATGTAAAAACCATTAGACACAGCTTCCAGTGTCCAAACTTGGACTCTGAGGGAGTAATTAAACAAGCAAGATAATGGTATATTCTCATCCATTTCCCCTTAAAACAGTGTGCTATACTTTTAAAAGGTTTCAAATTATACATATTAAAAATAGAAGGCTAATTAAGTAAGCAGTAGTACTCTCCTAATGGGGGTATTAGAGAGTGATTGAACTTTGCTGTCGTTATATTGAGAATATGACCCTTTCTATAAAACCTAAGGTGAAAAACTACACAGAAAATTTAGATTGTA